GCTTGATGGTCATTTCAAAACATCATATATTTGTCTACAAAGGACATACTGGTATTTTTTTAATAATTTTTAAAAATTCTTATATTTTCATGATGTGTATTCTGAATCAGAGCTATCATATTTCAGGAGATGCAGAGACAGGGAGCAAGAAGTATCAGGCAGTAGAAGGTGAAACCCATGTTAACAATATTCAAAGTTACTAAAGAAAATATAAAAATAATATTGTTAATCTGCTATTTATATTGATTTTTCATAATTAGGCTGTTATTTGTCTGCCTATAACCACAATTAATGTTTTTCCATAGTGAAAAGAAATAAAAACTGAAATTATTTATTTGGAAAGCTCCCTCCCTCTGCAGGGAGAGGTAGAACACTGCACTGCCCGTACGTTAAAAGTCACTCAAACAAAACTCCATGAGAATCAAATAAAGAAAAGGGGTGAAAAATACTACAAAAAAACCACAAAGGTCCCTGTGCTCAGCAGTCTCTCACGCTCTTTAGCTCATCAGGGGACAGTAAACGCATTTCTTAAAGAGGGTCTGTGTTCCCAGATGTCCAGCTTCAACATCTGGATTAATTGTGAATGCTTACCCCCATCCCTTCTCCACTTTGGGTCATTCCTTCCCGACCCCTCATAACACTCTTTTAATGTGATTTTTGTTAGACAAACGGTGTCATGTTTCTGGGAATGGGAAATGGATAACATGAACACACAGTCAATGTCCCGCCAGCCTCGGGCTGATTTATACTCTGAACTTCACCCTTCAAGGCAGGCAAGGTAATCTGTTGGCACCCGCTGGCTGTGCAGTAGTGGGTCTGCCTGTCTGACTGTCAGCATTCCCACCATAAACGGCTGTTTTTAGAGGTTTATGAGTTGGCTATAAAATGCTGCCTGGAGGGGGGTGGATCTTACTAAATTGTTTTAAGTTACAAGGGACTAAAAAAAAAAACAAAAACAAAAACATAAAACAAACCATAGAAAATAAAAGAAAATGTCTGTAATTTCAGACACTATCTAGTGCTTCTGGAACTTTGAAAAGCCTGTAATTGTGCTGTCTGTGTGCCCTTCTGGCATTCAGATCATTGCTTTAAAGTTCAATGTTTTAAATATAAAATAAAGCTACTGCCTTCACTTTGAAGAGATAGTTATCATAGAAGATTAATGTATAGCTTGCAAGTAAAACAATAGAGGGGGTTTCCCTTTTAGCCAAAGGAGTTTTAGGATCTCTTGTGCATGAATCAAGGACCACATCTGATGGTTAGAAGTGACCAATGATTGTATTCCAATGAAGACTGATGAAAAAATTGCTCAGGTTTGGTGAACTGAGATTGTCATAAATTCAAGGGATATGTACAGTTTACCAGGTACCATTATAGGCTGGCTGTTCTCCTAATCGAATGAACCTGTTCTTTCAATAATGCCTATGGTACTGTGAATTTTAAGAGGAAGAAACAATTTGTGAACCAGCAATAGCTGGGCTGGTGCTCTCTTTAAGGGTCCAGGACACCTGTCTCAGAACTGGCTCATCATGATCATCAAACGCTCTCTGTCTGCATGTCGCTGTAGTCAAAAATAAACAAACGACAAACAGAAGCACCTAGCTTTGTCTGAAGGCTGGAAGGTCAGTGCAGGCGTCTTTGAAGAAAGGATGTCTAAGCCAGGATCTAAGGGATGAGTAGGCAGAAGCCAGGGGAGACTCATGGAAAGTATAACAGTCAAGAATGGTAGCCTGTGCCCATTATATGAGGCAGGAAGACAGGAGGTCAGGAAGGTGAGTGCTGTCAGGCATGTCCTTGGAGCAGTTAGTAGATCTAGTCCCTCAGGCCGCATGGAGGGATATAAGCAGGCTCAGAAATGACCAGATTTGTATTTTAAAGAGTCATTTGTGGTTTCTGTATGCATAATGCCCTGAAAGAGAAGCTGCATACAGAGCCGGCATAAAATAAGAATTTAAAATTCCTATCCCTCCTCAGTTCTTAGCTAAAGGAAAAAAAAAGTGTAGGTTTTACTCTTACATGATACTATGTGCTATGATTACAGTTTTGCCTCTTACAATGTGCATTCCTTGGTTTTTTGTTTAAGAATATTCTTCATGTTAAGCAAACTCAAAGTGCATAACAAAGATAAAAGTGAGAGAAATTAATAGCCCGATCTTGGTGTTATGGGCTGAATTGTGTCCCCCTCTATTAATATGTGGAAGTCCTAATCATTAGTAGCTCAGAATATTTGGAGATAGGGCTTTCAACGGTGTCATTAAATTAACGGCGGTCATATGGATGGGTCCCAATCCAATCTGATTGATGTCCTTTGAAGAAGAGGAGATTAGGACACCAACACAGAGGGAAGACTGCATGAAGATAAAGGGAAAAGAGGGCCATCTATAAACCAAGGAGAGAGGCCTCAAAGTAAACCAAACCTACTGACACCAGGAGCTTGGACTTCTTGCCTCTAGAATGGGGAGAAAATCCATGTCTGTTGTTTAAGCCACCCAGCCACCCAGTCTGCTGTGTTCTGTTATGGTAGCCCTAGCAAACTACTACATTTTGTACCAAAAATCCTTTGCAACTGGAGATCTTCTTAGGAAATGTGTTGTCTTGATGAAGTTGAAATATGTTCAGCTGCCCAGCAGGACTGCAAATGAAGGAGAAACTAATCTGCTAGATTTTTGGTGGTGAGAGGTGGGGCAAAAACCAAAGGAACACACGGGCTGTGTAGAGTGAACTCAGCTATCAGTGCAGTGAACTTCCACACTGCCTAGCCTCCACTGCAGGCTGCACACTAAGGGAGAACAACCGCACTGGGGAGGCTCAGACACCCAGGTGGTGTGATCTGGTCTGCCTTGACCGTGCAGATCAGCAGATAACAATGTTATCTCAGGCACGCACTCAAGTCAGGGAGATTTTCTTCATTCTGCCTATTTCTCTTCCAATCATCAAGCAAGTACCTTGCTTACATTTACTGGTCTGCTACATGAAGAACATGGGTGGGGCATAAAAAGAATTTTAAGATGTGGCCCATGACCTGTAGGAATCCAAGTCAGGGATCAGTTAATGTTTATGTTATAAATGGTGGACTTTCAAAGTGGGTTAAGAGAAGTTGGTTTGGAATTGTTTTTCCAGGGATGGCAGGGTTTCTCATAGGTAGACACACCTGTCTGCAGTGGGCTGACTTCCAGATGACATTCATCTGTCCATTCATCCGTGCTAAGTCAGCTAGAGACACATAAACACAGTAAGCCTTCGAGACACAGCTCTTAACTTTTCTTCTTTGTCGTTGAACTGTTTCTTTCTCTCTGTGGTTTCTTTAGCTTTGTTCTTCATGAAAGCACAGCAGGTTCAACCATTTTAACTCCATTCCTGGCTGAGATCCTCTTTTGTAAACATTCCCTTCAAGTTAAAATGAAAATTACTCTTCCTTCTCCAACAAGAAAAAAAGCACAATTTGCTTTCTTCTGTTCTGCAAAAAACTTCAAAGCCACAGAGCAGGGGCCTCTTAAATGTAAATGCCCTCTTGGGCTCCCCTTATATTTCTGGGTTCCTTTGGGCATCCCAACAATTCCTGTTTCTCTAAATCTTTCCTCTCTTCTCTCTTCTCCTGATTGAGAAATTCTATCATCTTGTTCTTTGGAAATCAATTATAAAAACATTTGGATGCTTTGTTCACCACATGGACTCTTTAGCTTCGGGGTACAGGGCATTTATTATCCTCGGCAGAAATTGGCAGCATCTGATTTTTTTTTTTAATCTATAGGCATAGAGAGAACTGGAAACTGGGTATGCGTATCATTATGACCTGAGACACATCTAAACATTCTATGTGCATATTTCAGCAAGCACAAAGTATTTATGATTACATTGGAATTCTTCGGCTCAAAGATACAGAGAATTTATTGATAAGTTACCTGGTTTTTTGGAATATTCTCTTGCTTTGGACCCTAGTACTAGAGAGGAATGGAATAAAAAGGGCAAAATGAGGAAAAAAGTCACATGTGGAGCAAGGGTTTTTACCTGGCAAAGCCAACACCTCCAAGTCAGGGATCAGTTAATGTTTATGTTATAAATGGTGGACTTTCAAAGTGGGTTAAGAGAAGTTGGTTTGGAATTGTTTTTCCAGGGATGGCAGGGTTTCTCATAGGTAGACACACCTGTCTGCAGTGGGCTGACTTCCAGATGACATTCATCTGTCCATTCATCCATGCTAAGTCAGCTAGAGACACATAAACACAGTAAGCCTTCGAGACACAGCTCTTAACTTTTCTTCTTTGTCGTTGAACTGTTTCTTTCTCTCTGTGGTTTCTTTAGCTTTGTTCTTCATGAAAGCACAGCAGGTTCAACCATTTTAACTCCATTCCTGGCTGAGATCCTCTTTTGTAAACATTCCCTTCAAGTTAAAATGAAAATTACTCTTCCTTCTCCAACAAGAAAAAAAGCACAATTTGCTTTCTTCTGTTCTGCAAAAAACTTCAAAGCCACAGAGCAGGGGCCTCTTAAATGTAAATGCCGTCTTGGGCTCCCCTTATATTTCTGGGTTCCTTTGGGCATCCCAATAATTCCTGTTTCTCTAAATCTTTCCTCTCTTCTCTCTTCTCCTGATTGAGAAATTCTATCATCTTGTTCTTTGGAAATCAATTATAAAAACATTTGGATGCTTTGTTCACCACATGGACTCTTTAGCTTCGGGGTACAGGGCATTTATTATCCTCGGCAGAAATTGGCAGCATCTGATTTTTTTTTAATCTATAGGCATAGAGAGAACTGGAAACTGGGTATGCGTATCATTATGACCTGAGACACATCTAAACATTCTATGTGCATATTTCAGCAAGCACAAAGTATTTATGATTACATTGGAATTCTTCGGCTCAAAGATACAGAGAATTTATTGATATGTTACCTGGTTTTTTGGAATATTCTCTTGCTTTGGACCCTAGTACTAGAGAGGAATGGAATAAAAAGGGCAAAATGAGGAAAAAAGTCACATGTGGAGCAAGGGTTTTTACCTGGCAAAGCCAACACCTCGGCTGACTCCATTAGCATCCCTTAGTATTCTTGTGGAAATGACATGCCCAAAGGGTTTCAGCATATTCTCAAGTTCCTGCTCATCCATGGAAATGGGGAGATTTGAGATGTAAAGGTTTGTTGGGTCTTGCTCTTGTTGCTAAGGGAAGGAAAGAAACAAATGCATTCAGTTCTGAATATTGAGAAACTTACTGCATAAATGCATGAACTTTTGCTTAAACGGCAATCTAAATCCCAATCTCCACCATGCTCTCAGAAGTTCTTTCATCAAGGGCACTGCTTCTTTCAAAGGAATTCCCTTCTTGCCTGAACATTTCTCATAGAAACAGCATCATCACTGAAAAGCATGCTTTCTATCCAGCCTCCTTACAAAAGTCTGATAAACTTGTATTTGCAATTAAACTAAGATAAGTAGGTATATTCTCTATCACCACTAACTACTACTTTTACTATGACCATTCTAACTACCATTACCACTAGTTACTAATGTTGCATCTAGTGAGTATTGACAACATGCTAGGCATTGTTGTAAACACTTAATGGGAATTATTTCATTTGATATTCCCAGTAAATACAACTGTTACCATTTTACAGATGACAAAATTGATCCCTAACTTGTCAAAGTTATATAGCTTGTAAGGGTTAAAGCCAGGGCTGAAATCTGGGGGTATGACGGAACTCTTTGGGCTTTACTGTCCTGCTCTACTGCCTTCTGCTAGACCAGTGGGTGGGGAGGAAGTGGTCCCAGAGCACCATCATCAAACTCAGCATTGCTGAGGAACTTCTTAGAAATACAAGTTCTCAGGCCCCACCTCAGAACTACTGAATCAGGAACCTGAGCGTGCGACAAGCAATCTGTGTTTTCACAAACTCTCTAGGTGATTCTGACGACTGCTCAAGTTCAGCAATTGCTGTCCTAGTCCATCCGTGAATATTTATATAGGAATGAGATGATGTTTATCACTTCCTGATCCAACACCAAACAATTGTTAGTATTATTTCTATGTGCATAGATGTTCTCTATTTCACAGAAAGAATTAATCAGCTGGAACTTAGTTGTATGTGTGGCTCAAACTAAAACACAGCCATAAATCTGACATGATTAATCATTCATATCAAAATATATCAGGTATCTAACCAACCCATTATATCTGAAACAAAGCAACTACCTTAACTTCAAGGATAACTGAGATTAAATTGGAAAAAGACTACAGGAAGACTATAGGAAATATTATGTAACAGTAAAATAGCTTTTCTGAAGAGTTGATAACATTTTCTATAGCAAATTTAAGGTTTTAAGCACAATGAAAAACACAATAAACCAGATTCCAAATATTATTTCAGCTCTAAAACCAATTTTGGTATAAAACAGAACTCCATTATTTTTAACAGCTCTAAATATTCAGGCAGGTTATAACAGTTTTATTAAGCTTTGCGCTGAATGAGATATATTATTAGATTCATTTTTTCAAGTATAGTTTAGTTTTCAAGCTTTTATATCACCATGTAAAAAATAGTAAATATAAACATAATCAATCAATAAAAAAGATAACACAGCTTTCATATTTAGGAATATTATAAATGTATAAACCACAATTATAGTCAAACTCTCTCTCTTTCTCACACACACACACCACTAATAAATGGCATGATCCTAAAGAGGAAACAGAGATAATATTATCCTTTCTTAATGGTCATGGAGATTTTTTTGGTTTTTGCTTCAGACATAATAATGAACTTTATGTATATATAACTTTCACCATTTACAGTATTTCATTACTCATCATTTAATATTAATCTTCACATCATCCCTCCAAAGGTAGCTTGGCAAAACCACTATACTTACTGGATAATAAGGAAATGGAGGTATGAAAGATTCCTCATCTTGCCCAAGAACAATCCCATAATTAGTGACAGTTAGAATTAGAGTTAGTAACTGAATTTCCTATCTTCCAGCTCAGTGTATTATTCACTAGCCCAGTGTTTTCAAGCTTCAATGATTTGCTTGACATAGAAAGTTTTGCTATCCATGTACTATTATCTTATTTACTTAAAAGTTTTCTTTAAATCAATATACCTGTGGCCTTAAATAAATTTATTTAAAAAGATAATTTTATGCTGCCACCATTACTGAAAAGCTAGTATCACTTGGCATAAATAGGTTACTATAAGAATAGAGAACAAATACTTGTTATTAAATTATAGCTAGATACTTGGAGGACTTGACCCTTATGGTTGACTTAGTTATAGTTGAGATACTTAATTAAGAGACAGATGAGGAGCACACTAGTGCCAGATGGAGTGTTTTTCCTGGGAAGAATCAGAAATGAAAAACAACTAAGAAAAGAACTTTCTGATGATGTGATTTCTGGATCCCATACACCTAGATCTATTCAAGTTCCATAAGAGATGCATGTTCCACAGCCTGGGAGTGCCTGCATTTACCCAGAGAGTGTGCTGTCTGCTGCACAGGGCAATCTCATGAATGGGTTGGGATTTTCAAACTCTCCTTTGTCCTTGATCAGTCTGAATACCCACTCTCTCAGTGTACCATACAGATCTTTCCATTTTATCTAGGTGGTGATGCACCAGTTTGCTGTGACTTAAATCCATTTCCAAATCCACCAAGTAGAGAAGGCATTGCAGCTTCTCAAAATGGTGTGCAGTAAACACACAAAGCTTAGTACATAAGGGATTGCCCAATAAATTATTTTCTGACTCTCATATTCAAAGAGCAAGGCCAACTCCTTCATTTGTATTCACAGAGACAATATAGCATTGAATAGTGACATTCCTTAATTTGTATTCACAGAAAGAATATAACACTTGGCAGAGTTTTTTAAGTAATTCTGTCCTTTGAAATGCAGTAGAAGTCTTGAATACATTTGTTGACTTGACAATGGAATTTAACTTCTGCACAGAAGGAACTTTAAAATAATATCTACATTTATATTTTTACTTTCAATTTTATTTATGTATCAGGTTTACACAAATAGATGGTCACTTTCAAAAGGTTCTTTGGCCCTGTGAACCAAAGATCACTTTCCTTTTAACTTACCAGAAAAACTTCTCATGTGGCAATCTAAAAGAACTTCTTAAAAATCTTTTTGCAACTTAAGTTCATGATCATTTAGCTCCACAAGGATTTAAGGGGGCAACTGTCCAACCTGATCTTTTAATAGGTAGAAAAAAGCAAGCTAGAGGAGTACTTATGACTTGCTCAAGGCCACCCAGCTGCTTACTAATAGGCTAGAAATAAAACCCATGCCCTTTATACCTGGTCTAGTGTTCTTAAAATTCATGACACTGCCTCTTCTCTTAAAATCCAATGACTAATAGACAGCATGTTGTGGTTCAAAGGAATATTAGTACAGACAAAAAATAAATGTTGCTGAATTCCTTCTTTTAGTCACTTTTGCTTATTCATCAATTAATAAAAAGTTAAGGTTATGAAAAAAAAAAAGAATTCCTAGTCTTGGTCAGCATTTTACATATAGACACTGAATGAATACTCTGCAGTATATACTGGTTTGTCAAGTATATGACTACAAATCATGAATCTATTATATTTAATTGACCATGTCAACATAAGTAACTCCCCCATTTTGGCCTGTTTCGCTTCCACGGGGATTTCTTGATTTGTTATTTAGTTTTGTCAAAGATCAGGGAAAAGTTAAAAAGTACCCTCTCCCTTGTTAATGGGAACACTGTTCTTTCGGTCAAGAATATGTAAATATTTTTTTTTCTAAAGTGACTTCCCTTCTCTTGGATTTTTAGTAAACTGCCAAAGTAAGATTTATTGGCACTCGTCCATGCTGTAACATTTTAAAGCAACTTCAGAACATTTCAAGGTGGCCAAGCAAATGAATACAAATGCAGTTTAGTAATTGTTGCCCATATCTAGATCAAAGGTTATGTTGGGACTGTGCTTTTGATATGTACTATGGCTATTATATATATATATATATGGCTCTGGAAAAGGTAATTAGTAGAATAAGATTTCAAAACTTAATCTGATAGCACTTATGCTTGACAAAACTACATTTAAATATTCAGGAAATGGTTATTTGCATTACAGAATTTAAAGCAATATTTCTTAAGTGACTTGGGGTGGGGACCATTTTTATTTCCTATCTGCCATAGATGAATATTTACAAAATACAATACAAAAGTTAATAGGAAATAAAATAAAATTAAAAGATACACAAAATGCAAGTTGCAATTTTTTATTATTATATTCAACACACCAAAATTACATTTGTATTAAACATCATGTTAATGTGAAATTGCTATAAAAGGTTTTAAACGCTTGCTCTTAAGGTTTGTACTTATTCTCTCACAAAGTACTATTTGGTGGACCAAACTTTAAGTAACACTGTTTTGGGATTTTTTTTTCAATTTTTTTCCACCATAATATATTAACCTATGAGTCTTACTATCTTATTAGTTTTTGCTTACTTTATATAGTATCAAGTTATCTTGCAAATGGATTTCTGCCCCGGGCAAGTTCACTATGGATTCAGTGAGACCGAGGAATGACAATGGAATATTCTTGGGGTGAAAGGGTTTATTACCCAGCTTGTTCTCCTGGCAATAGGCCGAGCACTAGAATTATGTCTGCATCCAACCATCTTCAGGTCTTTAATCTTCCTCATCTCTGCCTCCACCCAGAGCACTGGGCAGAGCTCTTTATATAGTGACTCAGTCAGTAACAGTTTATTGCCTATGGGTGTGGAAGCAGTAGCCCAGCAGCAGGCCAGTTACATCATCAAGCACTTTAGGTTCAGGTGAGGATCCTGGCCATAGGAACCTTCACTTTATCCACACAAGTCCTTTTTTAATCGCAAAATTGTGTGTAACCTATATATAGTTATTTTTGAGCTATTAGGTAGACAAAGCAGTCTTGAGATGAATTATTCTGAATGGGAGTGATACAACATCCAGAAATATCCTATGAAACTTTGAAAAAGCTCTAAAGCAACATGTGACTATAATAATTTAAAAACACATTCAGAGGGATGTTCATATAGACTAAGGATAATATTTATTATTATTATTATTAGGATAGTAATATTTATTATTACTTTACAGAGAGCAGAGTTTTCCAGTAGTCAGTGTTTCAGGGTCATTGTATTTTAT